AGTCTACTTTGGAGCTCAATTCGAGGAGCATGGATGTGATTCAAGTCCGAAGGCTTCCACAACATGAAACTAGGTATGTTTATCTACCATGGGTAGGAATCGGAAGAAATATTTGAGTTCTGAAAGGCCTCGAACGAATGGCACGAAGTTAGTAAGAAAGCTTGGAAGACGGAGCACGAAGCGGAAAAATACACGTCTCTGGATCTTGGAGAAAGGTCGAAGAGTCGAGGAGGAGGCCTGGATGATACTGAAATCGCATGCACCTCTCCAACCTCAATACCTGCCAAGTTCCGAACTTTTCCGGCGAAACAGAGGAGGAGAGAGGACGACTTGGGTGGAATTACCGACGAAGCTTCGAGCCAATCCAATAACGTCAACATGTTACCTATGACCCCAGAAATCTCGGACGTAGGTGCAACGAAAGTAAGTATATTCGAAATCCAAGAATCAATTTTGGCAAAATCTCCTCTGTTGAGTGCGACGAACAGGGACGAGAACTCCTCCGTGGATAGAGCCATCCAGCATACTACGAGTCCTGCCGCTGCCTCGATCATGTTACGGGGAGGTTCCTAGGATGGTACCAATGGCGGAGAATGATCCAAAACTAGCCAAATCGACGAATCGTGATTTGGATATTTCTCCCCTGCAACTAGAGCACAATGACACAAAAATTAGCGAGTTGGTTGGGGCAGTGGAGATGAAGTCGAGCCAAATTGGAACCATGGGCGCGTTTTTGGAGGTACAAGGATCGTGGGAAGCTCAATAGATCTACCAAAACGTTCAGGAATAAAAAACACCCAAACTGGATGATGGGTTCTGCGGCATTCAAAAGTTCGAAACTAGTAAAGGCAGGAACAACAAAAATGATGATTCATTGCTTTCTAGGCATAGTCGAGGCTTGGAGTTGATCGAGAAGTGTAATTCGATGAAGGAGGAAGAAGATTCGAGCAGCAAATTGAAGAATGGCGGCGTGAATCATGGTCGTTCAACTTTCAACGACTTTCCCGAGTTCGTCACAAAACTGGGTAGTATGGTGAAGGTCCTTGCAGCATTTCCAAGGCTGATAATCGTCGATAGAGATCAAGGAAGTGAAGTGGAATTGGCTTTGGTTCTGGTGAAATCATCGATAGGGATCGAGGAACTCAGGATGAGTTTGAAGCTGTAATTTTTCTGCCGCAAAAGATGATCGAGCAGCCCTCTTTTGATCCAATTTGGGATCAAATCTGCGAAGCTTTTGATAAGAGGAAGGATCAAGCTTTGAGGCCAAAGTTTTTTCAAGAGGTGGAGCCTGATATTATCCCAATTGGATCAATCTACAAGTCGCAATTACTTGCCAAAGAAGCCCTCTCACCTCACATGAAGAATTCTGATTTTTGGTTGTGTTGGAATAGTGACGAGGTACCTACTTTGGAGGTTTGGTTCTCTCAATTGGCAAAATGAAAATTCGAATTGGATAGCTTTTTTTGAGGATAAGAACTTTATCTACAAGATGGTATGCTTGGTAGCCCAAGTGAAAGTTCAGAAGGTCATTTTCCATACATCCAAAGTTGCTATCTGGAAAGCTGAAAACTGCCAGAATCTGCCCAAGTTTGGAAACTGTTTTGTGAAGCCTACTTTGGAGTTCAATTCGAGGAGCATGGATGTGATTCGAGTCCAAAGGCTTCCACAACATGAAACTAGGTATGTTTATCTACCAAAGGAAGGAATCGGATGAAATATTGGAGCTCTCGAAGGCCTCGAACGAATAGCACGAAGTTAGTACAAAAGCTGTTTTTGGACAGTTTGCTTGTGCTAAAAGGCAGCTTACTTGTGTTTGAAGAAAGAGATTTTTTGGCCGAAAATTGTAACCATTTTAGATTAGGTTTTTACCTTAATTGTTTCCTTGTTAGTTTAGAATTGTATTAGGTTTTCTTTGGCTATAAAGCCTTCTAGTTTTTATTGTAAAGTAGAGAAGATTATTGTTGAATAAAAAGTACTCCTACGTGAGTGTTTTGAGTTCTTGAGTTGTGTCTCAAGAGTTTAACATTGTCATTAGCTTCGAGTGGATTCCTTATCTAATTACAAGAACCTTGTGAAGCTATTTGATGCGTGATGGGATTTCACGCACTGGTGATCTCGAGTGATTTAGCGAAAGAACTAGAAAACACCATAAAAGAACTAATTTTCTCTACTAACTACTAATACTTTATTGATCGAGTGAATAAAACGAAGAGCAAAGGTACATACTTATAGGACTAATCTTATATATAAACCCCTTTCCTCTTAAGACAAGGAAACTCAAACCTAAAGCAACAAGTAAACGAATACTTCCTAAACAAGATACGTAAATAATAATCCTAGATCAAAACTAATATGAATAACCCGAATAATAACCGAATATCTCAACAAATAATAATTATAAAACATTAATAATAATAATATTAATGGGCTCGGCCCAAGACACCGTCACCTATCAATCCTCCCCCCTTTTACAACTTCGTCCCCGAAGTTGCCTTGCGCTTCCTCTCATCCTTCTTCCTCTGCCTTAAAGTCGTCGATCATGACGAAAAAGTTCGCGTTAGCGCAGCGATGCCCATACGTGAACCTCTCGTCGCAGTTATAGCACAATCCGTCACGACGACGCCTAGCAGCTTCTTCCAGTGAAAGGTTGCGGATGATGCGCCCTGGCGGAGGTGGTGGAGCTCGCCCCGGAATTGGCGCAGTCGGCGGAGCAGCTGGTGGTGGCGCTAAGGCCATGTCAGCAGACGCAGTGGTGCGCTTTTCCTCCTCGCGTATCTTGGCCAGTCGATATGCTTCGCCAGTGGTTTGTGAATTAAAAGCTCGGATATAGGCCGATATTTCCGGCTTCAATCCACCCATCTAGGACCCCATAATCGCAACATCGGTCCAACCGCGGCAACGATTCAGCAACTTCTCGAAGGTGTGTTGATATTCGTCAACGGAACCAGTTTGACGAATCTTGGCCAACGCTTCATGTCCAGACGACTTCTCCGAGGACCCATACCTTTTCCATAACTCGCCGCACAGACTGCTCCAAGTCATCGTCACCCCATGCTTCGCGAATTCCTCCTCAAGCCATATGATCCACTGGTTTGCGTCACCATCCATGTGATAAGTAGCCAGCGCCACCTTCTGCTCTTCTGGAATGCACTGGTAACGAAAGAATTTCTTAACACACGAGACCCACCCAGATGGATCCTCCCTGCCGGTGAACTTCAAAAATTCGAGTGGTGCGATCCTGGCTCGAAACATCGCGTGGCCCGACTCCTCGAATTGAACCATGTGACCCATGGGCTAGGTAAACCCAGTCGGTCCACCCGAGTAAGGCCCACCCAATCCGCGGGTTATGGTTCGACCCACAACAGGTCCGCACCAGCTCTGCTGTCCCGACCTGAACGGTGGTCTGGGCTCGGCCCAGCTTGCCCCTGCCGCAGCTATAGGTGTCAATCGGGCGGGTTCAGGCGGGTTCGGGCTGGGTTCAATCGAGTTCGGGTTTAAACGGGTTGCGGGTTCATCGGGTTCGGGTTCATCGGGTTCGGATTCAAACGGGTTGTGGGTTAGTCGGGTTCATCGGGTTCGAGTTCAATCGGGTTGCGGGAAAATCGGGTTGCGGGTTCATCCAGTTTTGGGTCGGGCGGATCAGGTTTCAGGTTGTTCAGGCCAGCGCATCGAGTAACTTACTCATTACTCATTACCAACTTACACATTTTATTACACTAATTTAAAATATTTTCTCAACTTTTTAACCAATTTATTTATACCTCGTATATATATACTTAATTGTTTTGAAAAAAAACTAGTCAAAATGTTAAATCAATTTGTATGACTTGCAAACTTGTTATGTAATTAATCATAATTGGTAAAGTACACTAGCTAATAGTAATGGTGATATCAATATTTGCAACCAAAAGACACCATTAATTGTTTATTTGATATTTTAGTATTAATTCAGTAGATAGTAGTAATTGGATTAAAGTATCTCGTTTAGTATAACTATGCAAATCTGGTATTTGGCGTGTGGTATTTGGCAAAAGCAGAGTGATAAAAGGAGTTATTTCGAAATAACTCATTGCCCAAATAACTTCAGTAAACTGTTGCCAAACGAGTTATTTGTAAAATTGTTCGAATTATCCTAAAATTGGAACCATTTAAGATTAACTATCAAATTTAGTAAAATTATTGTGACTTCAATCATAACTTACTCAATAACATATATACTATACACTTAGCCTTACCCTCAATCAACAATATTAAGTTAGTATATGTTGTTGATTGTATACCCTAAACCATCAATACATTATACATTAACCACATACCCTATACCCTATACCCTAACCATATGTCCTTGAGTTATGATTTTTCTAGTATAGTTAATTTAAAAGTGAAATTCATACTTTGATTTTCAAAACATAGATAAAAAAATGACCATATACCTTGTACCCTAACCACATATTATAAACCCCTTTCCTCTTAAAGACAAGGAAACCCAAACCTAAAGCAACAAGTAAACGAATACTTCCTAAACAAGAGACGTAAATAATAATCCTAGACCGAAACTAATATGAATAACCCGAATAATAACCGAATATCCCAACAAATAATAATAATAAAACAATAGGGTTAATTTCATGGTTGGTCATTGAGATTACAAAAAACGTTCAAATTTGATCACTCGAAATATTTAAATCCGTTGATGGTACTTCACTTTACAAAAACCGTTCACGTTTGGTCACTCTCCGTTAGCTGCCGTCCATCTCTGTTAAATGAGTATGCTAAGTGATGACGTGGTGGACGGAATCGTCTAATCATCACTATTTAACCCGAAAATAGTCTGACCTGACCCGCCACCTATTTGAAACCCGCCAGCTCATCTAAACCTACCCAACCCTCTAACCAAACCAGATCAGACCCGACCCGATCCACCAACTCAACTTCCCAGCAAGATTAAATCTTTAAATCGAATAAAAATCAGACACCTTCCCCTTCTTCCCTGCCGCCGGTGCGGGGGCAGGCGACCACCGACTTCAAGCCTCAAATTCCTGGGGAGGGCCGAGTAGCGAGAGGAGTCAGCGTGTACGAGCAGCTCGCGGAGCAGCGGCAACTATGGGTATGGGCTGTGGTCGTACGCGCGTACCGAGGGTTCGTGATGGGGAGCAACGTAGAAGGGGGAAGGGAAGTGTAGCAAGCCCAGCGTGGAGGTGAGCGTGCAGCACGTGAACTGCACGGAGGATTAGCCATTTAGCAAGCCCTTCTCTATTGCGCTGCCGCCGCGGCCTTCCTGGACGACTCCAACCCTATCCGGATGTTTCCCGATCGCCTCAGCGACTTGGAAACTTCCGTAGTCAACGCCGTTGGGAACACTCGCAGAGCTCTTAAATTCGCGTGTTTTGCTCACAGGTACACAACGATGGCGGAGATGTCTATTTTTCTCCCCTTCTTCCTGTTTGCCACTCCGATCATCCTGTTGAATTAGTCACGGATTTTCATTTTCCCTTCTCTGTATGGCGTTTTTCAGGCACGGGAAGAGCTATGCGACGGAGGAGGGGATTAGGCAGAGCCGCAGAGGTCTTCGATCTTCATGGAGAATCGTCGTTTGATTCGATCCACCAACAGAATGTGTTGATTTTTCTTCAATTTAGGGATTTAATCTTGATGGGTAGTTGGGTTGATGGGTCTGGTTTGGTTAGAGGGTTGGGTAGGTTTAGATGAGCTGGCAGGTTTCAATGACGTGGCGGGTCGGATCAGACTATTTTCGGGTTAAATAGTGCTGATTAGACGATTATGTCTGCCACGTCATCACTTAACGGACTCATTTAACACAGATGGACGACAACTAACGAAGAGTGACCGAACGTGAACGGTTTTTGTAAAGTGAAGTATCACCAATGGATTTAAATATTTCGAGTGACCAAACTTGAACATTTTTTGTAATCTTAGTGACCAACCATGAAATTAATGGGCTCGGCCCAAGACGTCACCCATCACTATTCTGCGTGGATTCTAGAATCGTTGAGTAAGTTCTCTGGGAACGGGATACGGTGACAACCCCTAAGGGGTTGTCAGATTGACAACCAAGGGTATTTTGGGTATGAAAAAAAGGAATATATTAATTACCTTTTTTATATTAATCAGATTGGGAATTAAAAACTCATATTAAATATAATTTTTTTGAAATTTAAATCCTATACATTAATATCTCTATCTATCTATCTCTCTTCCTTTCTCCTGCGGCCACTCCGCTATGATGGACAGACTTTTTCTCCGACGAATTCTCTCAGGCAGCCTCCCTCCGGCAACCTGAAAAAATGTACCAATGCGTTAAACAGTGTACCAATCTATTAGTCTACTGGTAATTAATATACCAATGCTAGTGGTACGCTACCAATACTAGTGCTAGTGGTACAGTACCATGACCACTTGTAGCGGTACCATTAGCAGTACCAGTACCACTTGTAGCGGTACCATTAGCAGTACCATTATCACTGATAGCAGTACCAGTACCACTGGTAGCGGTACCATTGCTATTGGTAGCGGTACCATTGCCACTGGTAGCGTACCACTAGAGACTAGCACCAAAAAAATCAGATCTGAAATATGAAAAATCACAGATCTGGAAAAAAAAAATAGGGATGACGAAAGGGGGAGGCAGGGGAGAGGCGGTGACCTCGTGGCGACGGTGGTGGTGGGAGACAGAGGGCGGCGGGAGGGTTGCGACGACGGTGGTGGTGGGAGGCCATCGCGGCGGTGGTGGGAGGAGGAGGCCGCGACGGCGTGGCGGGTCGGCTGCGACAACGGTGGTGAGAGGCGGAGGGCGTGGCGGGTCGGCTGCGACGACGGTGGTGGCAGCGATAGAGAGAGAGGGAAGAGATGGGAGGAAGAAGAAGAAGAATAGGAAGAAGAAAGATGGCGTGAGAGAGAGAGAGGAAAGAGAGAGTGTAGGGTTTTAGGTATTAATAAGGGTAATAATCTAGTGTGGTCAATTTTTTTCGTCCAAAAATACCCTTAATCCAATCTGTGCCATTGATTTGAAAAAAGAAGAAAGAGACAAGAGAGAGAATGGATCCTATGGTTATAAAATGGGTTGTCAATCTCACAACCCCTAATGGGGTTGTCACCGTATCTCATCCCAAGTTCTCTTATCAATCGATTAATCACCTTGATTGTGGCGAGAATTCTACCATTCGTTTTATCTTTCGTTGAAGAGTTCGAGCTGTGTATTCTGGTCAAACAAAGCACCCCTTGGTGCTTTATTAGTCCAGAGCTTCAAGGGGTCACGGCCATTAAACTAAACACGTTAGATGTTATAAACTTGTTGTAATTCTAAATGTTTTTAGTTATCTGTACTAAGCATACTACTCGGTATAACTAGCTGAATGCTACTTATTCTACGTTGAATACTACCTATACAAAGCATCATACTAGTTTGAACAAGTTCGATATTAGGTTTGGTAAGCATAATACTAGTTGTCCAAGTTGTCCCAATATCAAAGTTTAACTATTGTCAATCATTAAAGTGTCTGAAATATAAAGGTTGTCAAACCGCGGGTTGACCCGGACCCGGTCGAGCTAGTGGGTCAAGGGTTAACGGGTCACCCATTTTAGCCCGCTTCAGCCCGGAAATATGAAAAGAGTCACTATATTGTACTTATTCTGATAAATTATATCAAATTTCATATAACATATGAGTAATAACATATAACATTACACCAAAGTAACATGTCGTACTTAGATCCAACATATAGCGAAAATTCACACACACTTATATAACATCAATATTCAAATGTTTGACTAAGGATTCGAAAGACTGAGTTAGACGAAAAGAAAAATCGGAAAATAGGTGCAATTCACAAACCAAAGAAAAAAATTGAAACAATCTGACCTGCAACCCGATATCTTGTAACGGTTGACCAGGCGGGTGCTTACGGCCCGTTTTAATCATCGGGTCAGGGTCAAAATGGGTCGACCCAAGGGTCGACCCGCGGGTTGACAACCCTCTGAATACATTACAAGAAACACAAACATCCATATTTAATGATGGCCATCTCGAAGTGGATGGCGCCCACCAGTGCGACAAAGAGTGGGTGGGGTAGTAGCTCAATTCTGTAAGCCATACTGATGGTGTCCCTCGAGGTTTTGCTCTGCAGCTCTCGTTGGACCACGACCTCGTCCCCACGTGCGGACTGGGCTATGGGGCATTACCTTGTCATCATCAAAATCAACGGCAGATGACTGTCTAAGTGCCTCCTGTTGAGCGCGCTATTGCGAGGTAAGAGAGCTAACTCCTCCAAAACCTGTGCTTGTGCATGTGGTACCAAATCTGGCAAAACCTAAACTACTACCACTAGCACCAGTATCATGGAGTACCAAATCTTGCAACGTAGCTTGGAGTACCAAATTGAGCATATGGACAAGGAGTGACATCATCACCTTGAATAACAGTTCCACCATGATATGGCAAAGGAATTTCCAACGGCAGTGGTATCTGTGTAAATTGTCGGTCTTGCTCTTGAATAGGACTGGATACATGATCTTCATTTTCTCGACCTCGGCTCGTGCAAGTTCCCTCCTTTTCCATTGTCTACGGGGTCGTACTGTGGGTAGTGAACATATGCCTTCTCACTTGGTGCTACATCTATCAATGAATCACCTATCTCGCGTATGTCTCCACCGCCGATCAACATACTAGTCCTGAGAAGAGCGTCCAAATAATGGACTTCTGAGTCGCCTTATGCTAGTCTGATTTGGGCTCATTTGTACACTTTTTACCCCCCCCCCCCCCCCCACACACCCGATTTGCTTAGTCGTTTGAAGCATTTTTACTCTGTGAGGTTTGGTTTTACATCGGGCTGTGCCTTTTTTGGTATGTTTCAGGTTTTGGCAGGTGGAATTAACCCTCTAGTTGACAGTTGGCCGAAAGGGCAAAAGATCAAGTCAAATGGTGGAAACATCAGCAGTTCACGGTTTGGGTTGTGAGTTAACGATCACTAAGACCGTGAATTGGAGGCGCTCCCGACGAACTGCTAAACATCCAGAGCACAGAAGGGTTTCACTAGACACAAGCAAGTTCACGATAGTAAGACCGTGACTCAGACCTTCGTCCGTGAACAGAGTTTAGTGATGCGGTGTGTTTCATCGTTGGTTCACGGTCTGGGCTTTTAGTTCACGCCCGTGAACTAAGACCGTGAATTGAGCCCAATCTGGGTATATAAAGGAGGTTAAGCCAAAGGAGAAAGGGAGAGACCTAGTGTGAGAAACTTCTTCTTCAGTTTTATATAGTGACAAGGTGACGAACTAAAGAAGAGGAGAAGCTACGATTTCATCTTCAAGCAAGGAATTGGGAATTCTTCCTCAAAAGGAGGATCTCTTCAACACAAGGAGCAAGGCTAGCATTTCCTGGATAGTTTCCCTTCTTCTCTCTTGTGTTTTCCCTTCTCCTAGCATTGAGTAGCCCCTTCTTTCACTTGGGTGTTTGTAAGCCCTAGCTACAATTATGTGAATGCTTGTATGGATTGAATGATTTGTATTGTGGTTGTGTTTAATGTGAATTTGGAGGTGTTATTCATGAATGATTGTGTTGTGTGAAAGCCTATCGATCTAATTGTCATTCTAACATATTTCGTATAGCACCTAGGGTTTGGTTGTGGGTGGCCGTCTGAACTCCGATTCGAGGGTAAAGTCTAACCATTCCTTAGTCAATAGGTCGAGAGAGTCACATTGGTGGCTTAGATCGTATTCCCTTTCCTCGACCTAAAAATTAAGAGGATGGCTTGGGCTACTTGTTAGACTTCCCTACAGTTTACAACCCCCTCACCACACACGTCCATTCGATCCATCAAGTCGTAAATGCTAGTTAGGGGGAGCAACACCCGGGTGAATCCTTCTCGATTAGTGTCAAAACCATTTCTCTTTGCAAGTACTTTAGCTTTAGACCTCTGTTTTCACCAAAACCAACCTCTAGATAATGTTACAAACAATCAAAGTATGGGTACATGAACCGACCAGGGTTGATATTTAAACATACTTGCCCTATACTATGCCTGGTTAAGGTTTATACTTGGGCATTAATCGAGAGTTTCTAAGTGGTGCATTCGGAGTGAGTCCATGGCCTTGTCTTTTCACGTGCAACCTCTATACGTCAAGCTAAATCACAACAAAAGAACAACATATTATTAAAGAGCTTTGCACCAGAAAATACTATAATCGAAATTGTAAGAATGCTATGTTGAAGTTACAGTAATACTTTATTGATGCATCACGAATACTATATTAAAATTATACATACCATACTCTCATATGCAGCAACATAGTAGGTGATTAATTTCTGTGTAATTCGTCGATATCATTGCATGTACTCATAATGATAATGCAGAGGATGTGAAGGTACAGGCGACCTCTTAATGCAATGACTCAAACAACTCTGCTAATACTCAATATAAGTCGAATAGTGTGCAGCAAAATCATCCTCTTGTGCACGATCAATCATTCTATCCTTTAATAATGCAACTACTTCATCCCTTGTTTCTGAATAAGCAGGATATATAGTTGCAGTTCAAATTGTCGCATTGTACGATCAGGACGATGCCAAGAAACACAATGAAAGCATACAAGCAGAGTGACACAGAACCATAAAGTTAGGTGCCCACTACACCAACATAAAATTCAGATCATTGTTATAACTAGGCAATAAATTTAAACTAGAACTATAAGAACTTCTAATGCATCGAATTCCTTTGTGGTATCAAAGAATACTCGATATTCCATTAATTTGAGACATTCTTCATTGTTATCTGCAGACATCCCATTTTGTTTGGGTTAAATATATTTAATTAAGAAAACTTTAGTTGTTTAAGGTTAGTCATTGCAAATCTAAAACAACTTTCGATACGATTAGCAATAACGAATCTAGAGATACCAATTTTGGTTTGAGGTTCGGATTTGATTCTCGAGTGTTGGTAAGTTGTGTTTTGGTACGATTAAACGAATTAAACAATAGCTTAATCTCGTCGTTACTCAAGGTCACGGCGATTGATTTATTATTTGGATTAATGGGATTTTGGCGAAGATTGTTGCTACATTCAAAACAATATAAGTATTTACGAAAAAAATAACTAACAAATAATAACAATTACAATTACATTAACAAGTAATTAAAATAGTGATTATATGATAAATAGAAAATACAATAAAAAATAAAACGTGTTTATCATTAAATAATTTATTACAATTAATCACAATAGTGATTGTGTAAGAGTAAAAAAAAACTCCACCAAAAAGTCAAACCCAATACACACCCCCAGTTACCTCAGTTCAAAGCCCCAAAAAAGTTCACACAGATCAATCAAAATCAACCAAGCCCAGAGTCCAGTCTCGTTCTTCTTCTCAAGCATACCTCAAAAAACAAGAACAAAGGAAAGAAACGTAAAAAGGAAGAAAAACGCAGCAGATCCTTGTCCCGTGAGTAACTAGTAGCCTTATCCCAATCAAACAGGATCCACAAGAAACTGCAGCTAACGTTCGCCCCATAACGATTTGGGAATAACACGCCTCCAATGAGTGACAAGATGTAAGCATTGACAAAAATCTGCAAATCCTGGATGCCAACATTATTTGGAAGAGTACCAAACTCACGTCGTATCCAACTCATCCTCGGCTTATTACCTAGAAGGTATGTTTGAGTTGTAGGATGACATCCCAAACATGTATCACATAATTTTTTCGCTGTATTCGTCTCACTTTTTTCCTGTCTTGATGGTTAGTGGCAATCCTTCAATTTTCAAACCTAAAAGTAACTCCACATCTTGGAGAGTGATGGTACACTCTCCAATAAACAGGTGGAATGTGGATGTCTCTCGACGCCACCTCTCAACAAGTGCAGTGATCAATGCCCCATCAAGTTTAATCTTGGAAATATCGGGAATACTAGCAAATCCTATGATATGTAAAAAAGGATCATATCTCGGAAAAAAAATACAAAGTACACACGTTTTTAAAATAAATTCCCAAATACACACGTTTTATAAATATTCCCAATCTACACATATTTGTACAAAACCGCGTCCGTCAAAAGCGATGAACGCTTCAACGCGGGAATCGGAAGTGATGATATTTCCTGGCCATTCACCGCTGGTGTCCCACACGGTGATGGCCTAATCATTCAATTAGCCCATTTTCTTTTCGACCAAAAGTAGTTGAGTTACTTAAATAGTCGGGTTACATAATTATTTGGCCGAAAAGTACATCCTGGAGGCATCCCGCGAGCAGAATCCTTGGCACCGAACATCAACAACAGCGATACCTTCGAACACGGCGATGGCGGAAGTGAAGACGGGATGCTTCTGGAGCGGGATCCACTGGACATTCTCTTTGGGAGTCGAAGTTCGCCGAGAAGAATCCGGCGTGTTAAAGTCTTCTAGGTCGAGGTTGAACCTCATTTCTTATTGCTTGTGTGAAATTTATCACCGCTTCCCCTACCTGAATCGCCCATTCCTCAGTTTGAATAGTTTTGCATCGGTGGGGCGATCAACGGTAGAGAGCGGGAGAAGAAGAACCGAAGTCGACCTTCGATTCCTAGTAGAGTCTCTCGAGAAATTAGAAGACTGAAGGTGTTGCCGTCTGGGATGATGTGGGCTTTGCTGGTCGAAAAGAAAATGGGCTAATTAAAAAATTTGGCCATCACCGTGTGAACACAAGTGGTGAATGGCCAAGAAATATTCATCGCTTCCGATTCCCGCGGTGAAGTGTTTATCACTTTTGACTACCGCGGTGATACTTTTTGGGAATATTTCATAAAACGTGTGTATTTTGGGAATTTTTTTTAAAACGTGTGTACTTTGAAATTTTTTCCTCATATCTCTTATCATACTTCATTGGCTTCTGACTACGCAAATGAAAACTTTTCATCTTCTGAACAAGTATAAAGACAATGAAAGAAACAGTTTAGATACCTATTTTCTATTTTTCACACGTAAACAAAAAACAAACTAGCATTAAACAACCAATAAAATAACAAGATCTAGCCACACATGTCGAGCACGGTGTTCACCTTCTCCCCATAGTATAGATTTATCAATCGGCTCAGGATTCACCCCCGAAGGCAGAGTGAAACTCGTGGGATCCATCCCTAGAAGAAAATCAAGACATACTCAGACGCTTTTCTCCCAAACACATCATAAGTACAGTTCAAATGCTTCCCCAAATAAATCCCAAGTACGGCTGACATGCTTTCCCAAACACATATCAGTATAAGTCTAACAAGCCTTGTAACACTAAATCCAAAGACTAAAACACAATTAAATAAGTTATAGATATATAACAGAAAAGGGAAATTCGGTTGTGAAGCAATTTAGTGGGAGGTAATTGTTCTCTTACCCTTGTAAGTACAAATGAAGTCTTGGGTGAGGTAATTGTTCTCTATTACCAACTTCCAAATTCTTTTAAAGCTAATTAGTTTCACTACTTCTCGTATGAATAACAACAATTTCACAACATAATTACTTCATAACTTCCACTGATTTAGCAGCAACCTCATTAACTAAAAGAAATGCACATAATCTATTTTGCCATTCCAAAGAACATTTTGAATAGCTCCCAAGTGCATCATTGGTTTCTGCACATGACCTGAGTGCCTCCTAAGTGCATTCTGAATGGCTCTTAATGACCATTCCAAAGCGTAGGTTAAATTTCATATTGTTTTCTTTCCTTTATGGGCTAGAGCAGTTTGTACTAATAGAAGAAAGATAAGGCAAACGAAGAGCTTCTTTCCTAGGAAATAATGAAATCTAAAATCATAACCCGAAAGAAAGGGCAACACTAAATTTTGTACCTCAAAACAGAGGGCGAGCTGCGAGTGGTATTTCAACAACAAAAGCAGCGGTTGGCGAGTGGTCTCCCAACTTAGGTAACCAGTTCGCAGAGCGGGAGCGGGAGTGGGAGCGAGAGCGTGAGAGCGTTGATTCTTTGAGAATTGAATTTTCAGAGCGTGATGAGAGCGTCAATAATAATAATATTTTTAATTAAATATTAGATAAGATGTAAAAACTTATCATAGTAAGTCACTAGTAGAAACATGCTAAAATTTATTATTAGTTTTCTTTCTTTTAACAACACAAATTTTGTTGTTGTTGTTGAGTTTCTTGGATACAGAGGATGATAATTGTGTTTGTTTTGGTTGGGCTTAGTTAGGCTCTTTTGGGCTTCGAAAAATTTATAAATTGATGATGAATGATTTATTTGTTTTTAGCTCAGCCCATTAAAGAAGCTAGGAAGAGGATTTGGACGAAGGAAAGCCACACAATTCCTGTCTCCAGTCTCCACCGTCTCTCTTGATATCATCTCTCCAAGACACCAATCGTCTTCTCCGTCCATCTTCATTTCTTCTGTCTTCTGCAAATTCTATCATCCAAAACCCATTACTTTGCTTGCATAGACAATCAATCTTGCTTCCACCGCTACCCAAGCTAACTTAAATCAGCTTCCAAGTTCCACTTTTATTGCTATTATTTCATACTCCTTTGCATGCGCTCTTATCTCGATGGCTATTCAATCGTTGACACAAGTTTGAAGAAGGGCTCTAGACGGAAACGTCGCAACTCGCATTACATATACATAGACAATGTTATCACTAGGGATGGCAATCAAACCCATGCCCATGGGTATCCGACCGCCCCCGACCCAGTCAACGCGGGGAATCCCCGCTTTGACCGGGTATGGGGCGGGTATGGGTAAATCCCGCAAAATGTTTGATGGGTATGGGGCGAGTATGGTTTTAGCCTCCCCCGCCCCATACCCATACCCATACCCGCCCCACCAAGAATATTTGTTCACATATAAAAAATACATGGATCAAATAGTAATCTATCAATGATAGTGAGGGTAACTCAACAAAATAATTAGTAGAAATGCAATTGAGTGGCCTCCCAAATCAAAACCTAATTCTTTTTTCTCAACTCTCCCTTCATTCTTTCACTTTTTCCTCGTGTTAGCAAGATTATATTAGTTAATTATTGCTTAGTATATGAATTAGAGTTAGGGAATAATGATTTGGATTACATTGTACTCTATTTTATGGATTAAGGGATGTTTTAGGATAAGATGCTTTGAACCATATTAAGAATCATTGTCACTTTGTCGACTTCATGATATAGTAGGTGCGTTTAATGTTATAATTGAAAATTTACATGTAAAATTTTAGGTATTATAATGTTGGATGTACGGGGCGGGTATTACCCATGGGTACCCGAAACCCATGGGTATGGGGATGGGTTTGCAAAATCTTCCCCGCATGGGTATGGGGCGGGTATGGGTTTGGATATTTGAAAGCGGGGACGGGGATGGTTTAGGCAAACCCACCCCAAACCCGCCCCATTGCCATCCCTAGTTATCACTGAACATCAAACCAAAGTGATTATTGGAAAGAAAGAGAAGAGGGTTAAGAGTACCGACTTCCAAGTTCTTTGACAAACCGCGCTCCAGAAATAAAAGAGCGCGCTCCAGCAAAAATTAATTCGCTAATTTTCCACGCTTTCCAAATAATCCGCGTTTTGACGAATCCGAGCGGGAACGTGAGAGGAAAATGGACGAATTGGGTGACATAACTCCCAACAATGAAAGTGGCCGCCGGAGAGGGTATACAACGACGAAATCGACGATCGGGGAGTGGTCTTTCAGCGAGTCGTACATGGAAGATCCATCCTTCGAGACTGACCATTCAGCTGAGTAGACGTGTGTGGCTAGATCAGGTTCGTTATTTTATTGGTTGTTTAATGCTAATTTGTTTTTGTTTACGTGTGAAAGAGAGAAAATAGATATCTAATTTGGCCAAATTGATCCGTTAAAATTCCTCATCTAAAGGACCCCTTCTTCAACCGACTAGATAGGTAAATAACATTGTCCGCCGGTTAGAAGTAAAATAATTTATTATTACATATTATTTTGGTAAATCTGCCCCAAAATTTCTCGTGAAGGAAATAGGAGATTTTGTAATTGACTTTTGGTTTGTTGTTATTTTAGAACTCGATAAAAAAAGGTTTTGTTAATCAATGGAAAGTGGAGGAATTTAATATTTATGCACGAGTATATTAGTTTGATGTAGTAAACTCGACTCTTGATTGTATGAGTCTTGTATGCTAGATTACGGAGGTTCATCAACCGAAAATGTGTCATTTGATCAAAGCTCTTTTTTATTAGAGATCAGTGGCATGAGATGATGTTTAAGCCGACATGACTATCGGCAGACGAGGTAAAGATGAAGACAGTGATGTAATGATTGCATTATAGATTATTGTATCAAGCTTCGAATTTACAGGTGAAAGTGTAACCTCAAAGAGTATGGTGAAAGTGGGAAAAAATCCTACTTTACACATGTTTTTAAAAAAAAATTCTTAAAATACACACGTTATGAAAAAAATTCCCAATTTACGCATGTTTGGGTATTCACCGCGTTTGAGCAAGGCGGTGATTGCATCACCGCATGAGAGAAGCACGGTGATTGCATCACCGCTGTAGAGAAAGACGGTGATAGCTTCACCGCATTAAACGGCCGCGGTGAAGGCCTAACCTGCGTCGAAACTTTAAACGAACGTAACTTTATGCTCGGTTATCCGATCGTGGCGAAATAATTTTTTATTCCGCATAATTTTTCGAGATCTTGCAAGCCGCAAACTGTCATCCCGCCTTCGTCCCGAAAAAAACGTCGTTTGCTACCCCGAACGAGCCTTTTTCGATTTCGTCAAACTTTGAACGACCATAACTTTGTGCTCCACAATCCGAAAATCACGAATTTTTTTTTTTGATTTCGCGTAACTTTTTAAGGAATACAACTTTTAGTAGGAGATCATTTTCAAAAATGAATTATTTTTGGATATACTGGGTTTTGGGAATAACTTTACCTTCCCTTTTCAGGAATCAAGTACATTCCGAAATTATGTCTATGATAAAAATTGTAGTCCTTAAAAAGTTATGCGAAATCAAAAAAAAATTGTGATTTTCGGATTGTGGAGCACAAAGTTATGGTCGTTCAAAGTTTGACGAAATCGAAAAAAGACTCGTTCGGGGTAGCAAACGAGGTTTTTTCGGGACGAAGGCTTCGGCGATTTGCGGTTTGCAAGATCTTGAAAAATTATGTGGATTCAAAAAAAATTTCGCCACGATCGGATAACCGAGCACAAAGTTATGTTTTTTTAAAGATTTGAAGCAGGTCAGGCATTCACCGCCTTTCTCTAGAGCGGTGATGCACCGGTGATGCAATCATCGCCTTCCTCTACAACGGTGATGCAATCACCGTGCTTCTCTCATGCGGTGATGCAATCACCGCCTTGCTCAGACGCGGTGAAGGCCCAAACATGCGTAGATTGAGAAATATTTTCATAACGTGTGTATTTTGAGAATTTTTTTTAAAAACATGTGTACAGTGAGAATTTTTCCGGTGAAAGTGTAACCTCAAAATGTACAAAAACAATCATAAAATGTGCATACAGGAAAACGAACCTTGGTCAACACCATGAGAGGGTACTACGATACCACTACACTAGATATTCAACTGACATTTAATGTTTAGCAAAGTTATTTATCACTTTGATTCTCTAGCTACCATCCAGTGCTCCGCATTTAACTACTAACTAATTTACGTCATATTGAACCATTACAAGTGAAAACGAGATATGTTTAGCGTGATGGTACCCTATGCGACGACGAGATCGAAAAGAAAATATGCATGAATACGAAGAAGAATCTCTAGGCCAACAACGAGAGAGAAAAACGAGTGAATGGGTGAGTGTTAAATACTTCATGAAATAGAATTTTATTTTATTATTATTTCTTTAGTATGATTAATAAAAATGAAACATGGCGGCATCGTTACGGTAACCGATGGCATGTTCATCCAGAGCTTTTACTGTGAGCCTTAGCGGGGGTTTCATTATTCGTGCAAAGCTGGCTGGAATTGTGAAGGGATTAAAGCTTGTCTGGGAACTGAGAGCTAGGAAGGTCATTCTAAAGACCGACTCTCATAGCGAAGACACTCATTGAGATGGCTTCCCACCACCAACTGCATTTTGTGGCCATAGTCGAGATTAGACGTTGGCTTGATCGTGGTTGGGGGATTTTGAATAGAGCATGTTTATAGGGAGGGTAACTGTGTTGCGGATTACCTTGCTTCTTTCGGTCATTGTTGTTCCTTACGTACGCGTCCATGTTTTTTACGCAACATCAAGTAATTTAATCTAGGGTTAATAGCATTTCGTACCCTTCTACTTTTGCAAATTAACAAACGTAGCCCTCTACTAATTTTTTGCACAAACGTACCCCTCTAATATTAAAACGTAACGAACATACCCTTCCGTCTATTTTTCTGTTAAATGACCATTTAATTGACTGTAAAAAGACCCAATTACCCCTCATTAACTCTTAAAAGCTACTAATTTCTATTTTAAATATTTTATGTCCTTTCACTAAAAAAAATTAATTTATGTGCCAAAAAATTAAAAAGCACTCGACGCTGCCAAACCTTCTATCCCGACAACACCTTCCTTCTTCCCCTTTACTCCCCTGTACGAAGAAAGAAAGCAGGCCATCAACGCCGGCAATCGACGCCGCCCGTCAAATCCGGCTATTGATGTCGTCCGCCAACTCCGGCCATCGTTATCGTCCGCCAACTCCAGCTTCGGTGGGGCGAATTAGTATCTTCCCCGCACGAAGATACACAAACCACGCTCTATTGGCTGCGTTTCGGCAGGATAGAAATTGAAATTTGAAACCCCTCACTTTATTAATAACTAGTATCAATACCCACGGCTACGCCGCGGGTGATTTAGCAATGTTTTAATTAACAGATGCAATATAGTCAATGATATCAACAAAAATAGTTAGAAATTATATACACAAAGCAAGTATCATGCAAGACAACTTACAATACAATGATTACAAAGTGTTGTGAATCAATGCTTGCGGCTACGTTGCGTGAAGTGTTCAGCAATGTGGCATTAATAGGCGGGAGAGATCAATCATCAATGATCATACTCTTTGGTGGCACTTGAGAGTCCTATCACCAAAGATGATGCTTGGTCTACAATCCATTTTAAATACTGCTACATAAGGTAAGCAACGGTGAATGCTTAACAAACTTAGAGAAAACAGAGACAACGAACTTTGCAAGACGAAAGAGAACTTGTAAGTAAATATTTCATGTATGCTCAATGGACTACTGTGAAATACAAAATGTCAGCAGCACCCAGATGGCAGAATCAGTAGCCATTCCTAGTGTGTTAACCCCAACCTAAACCACCATTGCAGCCACCAGTCACAGCGATTGCCCCACTGCTCCTTAGTTACTTTGCCACCCCTAGCAAAAGGAAAAGGAAAATAATCATGCCCTATCTAAATCCAGTATTTATTATTTAAACCTCAAATTAGGAAAACAGTAAGCTCTGCTGCACCTATACATACTGTCCCTTTCAATTTCTGCAGCATGACGATTTGATTCATGAAAGCAAAGGAGGGAACGGTCCGACATGGAGTCAACGTACTGCCAACTTTTTAACCAACAACGGCCATTAGTTTAAAAATCCCAAACCACACAACATGTGAGCATGAGAAGGAAGTTGAGTTTACATAGGTAGCAGCAAAGTCACAGGCCTGTAGGTTGCAGCCTCACCGCCAATTCTAAGCAGCATCTGACATAGAAATCTACATGGTACCAGCTCTAAGCTCCCCTCTGCACTTCCTTGAAAATGTAGAAATAGATCCTACGGTTAACCTTCTTTACATGGACATTGAACATACTGTTTGAAAAAAAGGTACATACAAATCACACTGTACCTGAATAAGTGATAGCAATAATCTGTATATCTCTATTGCTTCTTTGTGTTATTCCCCAGCAACTCGAAGAACAACCTTCAACCTAAGAAGCACTAACTGATCCATCCTTCAATCTTCATCCAAACTGCTCAATTTCCGTTTCAGCATCCTTGCATCGTTGCTCATCATGGTCACAATGTTCCTCCCAACGTGGTCTGTAGTCTGGTTCATCAGATTTAGAGTTAAATCAATCCGGTGACTTGGCCTAAACCATGACTACCATATTTAGGGAAATCCACCAGAAAAAAAAAATCCATAAAATTTGTGCAGGCAAAAGAGGCAAAGAAATGCAACCTGTCTCTTTTTTATATCAAGAACAACAGTATTGGTTGATTTAGACTGTTCTTCAACTGTTTGGTTCCCCACCAAGCTTCATACAACATTAAACTCATTAATGACACAGAGATAAAAGGATGGAATCACACGGTAACTGTAGAAGTGATCTTAAAGGACAATTGATGTGCAAGATGAGACTGAAAGCTGAACACTAACTATGTAAGGAACAGGACCATGCAGCATCCTAACATGACTAACAATGCATAGTTAGTGCAGCTTAACATAAAGCAAATAAACTTGGATTATAGTTTCGTTAATTAGGTAGACTAAGATTATTTCTGGTTGATGAACAAAAAACTTTTGTCCTAGCTGCTTAACCTCTAGATGAAATGAGACAAAATCAAATTCAGAAGAAGAAAATAGGTACAATGAACCAATGAAAGCAATAAAAAACTCTGAAAATGTGACCTGATCGAGACGGAGAACCAATACGAAATAAGATATACTCATTTCCATGCTACCGAATTACGAAGGCCAAACCAAATCACCTTCAATTTTCCATGCTCGCCACCTCTTGAACAAATAAACACCAGGCAAAACTATTAATAAGGAAAAGCATATTGCAGTAATTCTAAAATTCAGGCACCCTGAACAAATAAAAGAATCTAAAGCATAGAGTACAAAGCTAAGCAAAGTTGCAGAATTGTTCGAAATAGAGTAAATATCTATATCTAATCTACTGTTTGGTTTTACAATTTGCAGCGGCCACCTCTCTTAACAGGATCGAACAATCTAAGGTTAATCAAAATGGTTCAGTCTCACTGAAAACCAATTATAGTACATAATTTAAGAAAACTTCGCTTAATAGAACACCGTTAAGGTGAAACTTGAGGGGTTTGAGACCAACTGCTGCAAAAAGTAACAGCAGAGATTAGATGCTGCAAAAAGAACCCATCACAACACTGGCAAGGAGGAAGCATAGGAGTAATGGAGAGGTCTAATGGACAATATATTGCCTAAAGGAAAACGAATTACAGTGAAACCATGGGGAACCATTTGTCATTCCATATTACTCCAACTGCCAATGATAAACCAACCCAATGATCTACCAACACTTAACTCAAGAAAACTTTACTTAATAGAAAACGGTAGGGTGAAACTTGAGGGGTTTGAGATCAGTTGCTGCAAAAAGTAAACACGAGAGATTAGTAGTTGCAATAGTCAGCAGGTTCAGTCGACATAACCATTATACCTAACAAACCTTAATGATCAACTTAAGAAAATATTTTGATTCACCTTTGATTGTTAGATTCTGTTAAGAGAGGTCGCCGCTGCTATGGTAAACCAAACAGTAGCTTTGAGAGTTGTAATCGATGAAGAAAAAGAAGAACTAAAACCAAACATCACCCAAGTACCCAATAATACAGAGAGAGAGAGGAAGAACGAAAAGGCTCGCCTGCAACCTAAGAAAAAGGCTCACCTGTTCCATTATTGCTAATGAGGGTGGAAGAGAGCTTCGCCTGGAAAACTGGATATGAAAATGGAAACAGAGGAACAATGGAATTGAAGAGGTCGTGTAGATGAATTTGAGAGGGGCTAAACAGAAGAGCTAGATCGTCCTTTAATCGAGGAGAGTAAGGAGAAATTGTAGAGTTCATGGGCTTGGCGTGTGGGAACGACGGTGAAGAGGTGAAAAGAATGGTGAAAGTACGGAACGACTGATACGGTAGCCCATGATTGTGGATTTGGGGTTAGGTCGGCAAGGCATAGCTGTACGGAAGCATGACAGGCTGATGCGAGACAGGGAGGGCGTCGACGCTTCGGGGATGGTAAAAATTCCGTGTGGAGCTGGCTGTGAGGTCGAAAGCCTGGAACCAGAGATGATATCTGTTCTCCAAAGCACAGTGGAGTCATTGCTGCAACCGTACATGGCTGCTGGAGTGGGTGAGCAGTGGTTAACAGGAGGCATGGGCGATGGCATGCGGCAGCATTGCGAAGAGGAGGCAAGGTGGGACTTGGGAGCTTTCCACGGGGAGCTGGACCAAACCATTTTGCGAGAGAAAGTCCATAGGGCTTTTGGCACTAAACGCCAAGAATTGAAACAGTAAAGAGAGTCTTTTGGCAAAAAGCGTAGCTTGCTTTTATCTATAAGAATGGGTAAATGACACATTTGGTCACTGAGATTATTAAATTGTGTCATGTTTAGTCACTAGAAAAAATTAATATCAATTTTGGTCACTCGAATTATCAAAACTGGTCAAATTTAGTCACTCTCTCGTCAGTTTCCGTCCAACTCCATTAATGTAGTTGGACGGAAACTTTTGGGAGAGTGACTAAATGTGACATGTTTTAGTAATACGAGTGACTAAATGTGACATTTTTCAATAATTCGAGTGACCGGAGTTGGACAGAGGCTACAGAAGAGTGACCAAATGTGACATGTGTCAGTAATTCGAGTGACCAAAATTTATATTAAATTTTTCTAGTGACTAAATATGACACGATTTAATAATCCCAGTGACCAAATGTGTGATTTACCCATAAAAGAATGTATAAAGGTTTGGGCGTCTTTCAAACACTGACAGAAACAAACGGAACCTGAAGACAGCTTGCAGAACTCGGTGATGAGAAAAGGCACAGTGCATCCAACCTGACCCATAAAAAAGAAACAATTTCAAAGAAGTCAAAAACACGGCTTCTAAAAAAATCCCTAATCGACCAGCTGCCTGCTACCACATAGAAAGATGCGGGGTTCTCTGTCGAGAAGTTTCCCTTGGCGTCTCGTCCTCGATTCGTCTCGCTGCAACATCGGATTAGCAACCTCTTCTTCTAGAGCTTTTACAATGTCATGTCACCACCTTCGCTTGCTGCTGATTCTGCATATCCCTCAATACTCACCAGGCTCTACTCTTCCGAGAGGCCGAAGATCCATTCGCTTCTTCCTCCAGTAGAAGAAGAGTTGAAAGGCGAAAAGTACCAAGCTCCACTGACTGATCACCAAAACAGAGGTCGGGGGGATCAATTCAAAATATTATCCGATGTCTCTTTCTGTTTCGAGTGGAATTATATTGCTTTTTTTTTCGATTTTGATTCGGAGTTTGAGATTTTGTATCTTACTTGGGTTTTAGAGTTGAAGGACTTGTTTGAGAGTTAGCGGAAAGGTGAAGAGAGCCTAGGTCCTCTGATCATGGGAGATGGAGGAAGAATTTCGTTTGTATTCTGACTGGCTATAAAGGCAAGGATCTCTCTCTAATGCTGCAATTTCCTCACTGGTATGAACACATTTTAACCTTGTCTTCACTCGCACTCTTTCGCATAGTCAATCATCGATAGCGAGGTTGGTCGGTGTCCATTGGGGGGCTGGTGTTACTGCATTTCGATAGGGTGCCAATTGTTAGTATTCAGCTTAGTCGTCCTCTTGGAGATCGATGATGATTGTGGGGGAAGTTTGGGAACAGATTGAATTAATGTCAACTCTACACTTGCTTCCTATGATACCAGCTGATTCTGTATGATGGTATGGTATGGTATCCCTAGCGACCAAGTAGTGTTTCGGCAGGGGAGTCCTCTCTCTGTATGCTGTTGAAATCTATTGCATCTTCTTGCATTAGATTTGGAGGGCTGATAAACAGTTTAAGCATAAAAATGATGTGTTTTCTTGGATCAGCACATACATTTGGTAGCTGAAATTTGCATTCCAAATGAAACATGGATGTATTATAGCCACTCTACACTTTACTGATTTCGTTTTTCTGATCGATCCCCACGTGCGTTTTAGACAGTGATGACTGATTGGGGTCTTGTACGTAGGAATGCCACTGTCTAGCTAAACTTGTTTTGTTTGAATTCAATCTGTGTAGAACGACAATCAACTAAGGTACATTCAGATCAGCTCCTGGAGGTGCATCTTCTTTGGGCGGAGTATCGTCTTGGTGATGCCGTGTAAGTGAAGTTATATTTTTCTCCAGTCCTTGAATGAATGATGCCAATGTGGATACCCTTTTGTTGCACTACTGTCTCTGAATATTTAAAAGTTGAAAACTTAGAGGCTGCTGTGATTTGAATGAGAAAATCGAATTTACCATCCTCAAGGTTCTTTATTTTCATCTTCAACTTCTATGGTGGACTGGTGAAGAACAGAAGATGAACACTGAACACCTATATAATCTGCCATGATAAACAGAATTCACGTCCTTTAAAATGGTTAATAGTCTGCACTTACTGATGACAAAAAAAATTCTAAATTTACTGCTAAGCCACATTAATTACCACATGAAATTGTGCACTTGCCTTCCTTGTAATATCCATATACATAGAGATTAGTCGATTACTCTTGGGCCCTTTACAAAAATTGCCAGAATCTTCCTCAGAAAATTAGGCATCACCTAAAGGAAACAACATCTACACATAAACAACTACTAATCACCCTCTCCTCTGCCCAACTTATAAGACACATTTATCTGAAAAGCATCTTGAGTTCCTCAATTCTGGCCGACCGGACATCATCGTCGGTGAGAGCTCCGGCAATCATCTTCTCCTTCTTAGCATGAACTTGCAGCATCCGTTCCTCCACCGTGCCCTGTTACATGGATTTGTTTAGCATAAAAAAAACTTTCATCCACAAATAGGAAGGCCTACACCACCACAAGAACATAATATAACAGAGAAAGCTGTCAGTTGTCCTGAAAATGAACTGAAAGGACAACACACCCTCAAACGTCCAAATCCAAATTACAGGTAAGCTCTCATTCTCAAATTGGGTACCTAATATTTTTTGCCTTTTGGTCAATGCCTAACTATAGATGACAAGAGGACTGTTAAAAGTGATCCAACCCCCTCGAACGAATAGTTCTTTTTTGGGGCGAGCTTGTCCTAATAATTTGAAAAGTAAGAGCTGAAAGGGAATGATTGAGAATATACTTCACCTTGACAATGAATCTTCTAACTCTCACGGTTCTCTTTTGTCCTATCCTGTGAATTCTCATGATTGCCTGTTCTTCAACTGCAGGATTCCACCATGGATCCTACAAAATAAGAAATTTGTCAGCCATGAAAGGTTTTGAGGACAGCTGTAACTGTCTGAAATGGGAAGACCTTGTGGAAGTTATGGGAACTATACCATTATAAACACATTTGAAGCAGCAGTTAGATTCAGCCCCACCCCACCAGTTCTCAGAGACATCAGTAGCACCTGAAAATGTTAGGAAAAGAAACCAAATTAGATTCTTCTAAAGATCCATAGAGAAGAACCACCCACAAGCCATTAACCAAGGTGGTTTTAGCAGTTGCTTGCTTACCCTTTTCACATTGCTCTCATTGAACTCCTTCAAAACTCTCTCCCTGTGCTTCTGAGACAATCTCCCATCAAACCTCAAGAACTGAACCCCCTTCTCCTTCAGTGGAATTTCCAAGAGGTCCAAGAAAGAAGTCCACTGGCTAAAGATGATACTCTTCTCCCCAGAATAAGCATCAATTCTGTCCAAGCAATCCAGGAGCTTAGTGATCTTGGACGAACCTTTCCAGTTGTTGTGAATATCGATCTTGAACTTGGTCCCCGATGGACATGCTCGTAGCTCGTATTCACTCACTAAAGTTCGACACAGTGGGCAAGGCCCTTCTGTATGTGTTTTCCAGCTGGTGAGGAGACATTCTCTGCACATTCTATGCTTGCATGGAGTGAAAACTGGGTCATCTGCTGACTCCAAGCAGATGGGGCATTCGGTGTCTTTTCGCATTCCTTCTACAGCTTCTTCACTGTTGGCTTGAGTTGCAGCGGTTGCCTCAGTGGAGGAGGCAGAATCCTCATTTGTGTCAAAGAACCGTTTGGCGAGCTTGTTCAAGTCCCAGTACTTCTGTAAATCAGCTCGACTGCAAAAAAATGGGAAGAAATACGGGAATCAGGAGATTTCCTTTAAGTTATGATGAACGAAAAATGACTGGTTTCTAAAGGTGATTTCTTGGGTTACCTCATGACAAGAAAAGGATGGTTGCAACACTGCCTCAAACGAAGTAGTAGCTCAAGGACTGAGGCATACTTCTGAAGAACTTGGCCTTCTGCCACTAAGCTATCGAATTGGTCCTGTACCGATAGAATTTATTGCTCATCTAAGTCACGAACAAGCTCCATTATTTGAAACTACGATATTTTTGTATGAACAGTTACAATATACTTACTTTTGATCTCCTGAAAAGGGCTTCATAGAGGTCACGTTCAGCTTCTGATTGCTCACATGTAAGCACTTGAATATCAGTTGGCGGAAGAACAAGAATCGGCCTGTAATAAAATGTACAAAACTTTCAAATTTCAGTAATCTGAGATCATGGCAAGGAAGCAAAAGTGAAGCCTAAGAAGAAAGTCGTGCATTAATGGAAACAGTCACCTTCCGTAATTGTCCTTGGTTTCCTTGGTTCTCCTCAGCATCAGTGGCCTCAGGATGGCTTTAATCAGTTTAAGGGCTCTAGGATCTCCATTCTCATAAGGTTTATGGATCAATTTGTTCCACCTACACAAATCCCATATTTAGTAATAAATTCGATTTAAGTATCACGAACTAATAATCAATTAGGAATAAGATGATCATACCATGACCAGTTGGACCAAGGTTGAACGTGCAAGAAGCATAGAAGGCTGTAAATATCTTCCAAGTTGTTCTACAGCAATTCAATCATATCACGTATCTTAGTTTGTAGAAATCAGATACAAGTAACAAAGATTACATGGCCATGAGTGCATATCAATGAAGTAATATGAAAAAAGGTACCCTATATACCTGAAGAGGTGTCCCTGTGAGACACCAGCGGTATTGCGACGATAACTGGAAGGAAGCTTGAGCACCTTGTGATTTTGGGGACTTAATGGCGTGAGCCTCATCCAACACAACCCGAAACCACTCTACCTTGTGAAAAATACTCGCCTCCAAACCCTGAATTGCAGTAAATCATGTGTCAGAAATCCGCAGATCCTGAGCAAAATTATCAGATTTTGGTAAGGATGGTGCTTACTTGTTTATAAGCTGCCGTTAGGACACCATAAGTTGTCAATATCACATCATATCCAGAAATGAGACTTGGATCATTCATTCTCTCACCGCCATAATGAACAAACACAGACATACTTCCCGGCTTTGCATGTGTCTCGAGCTCATCCTGACCCAAGTCATAAGAAGCAAAAATGATAAAGAGGCAGAACTATTGAGCACCAAAGCACCGTACAAATAATAAGAGTCCCAAATGGGGTTCAAAATAGCAGCGAATGACTTACTTTCCACTGGTGAAGCAATGCCATGGGACAAATAATAAGAGTCCCACCACGAGGCCTATGGAGTCTGCTCCCTCCATCCTGCAAAACGATACTTCCTCTGCCTGGTTTTGCAAGTAATAGAGCAATCGTCATTACAGTCTTTCCAAGACCCATTGCATCTGCCAAAATCTTCACAAGCAGGAAAAATAACATACAAGTTTAGATGATAAGCAATCAAACCATGGGAAAAAGCCACAAGTTTTAAGACATGTGGAAATGTGCAACATTATAACTAACCCCTCCTCTTGTTATCTGAGTTGCAGCTGGAAACTGAAAGGTGGCTTCTCCAGAGAAAATATTAACGTAAATAGAGGCTGCCCTTCTGCAGAAAAACACCTGATTGTTTAGAAATCACAGCTCCATAACAGCTTTTAAGAAGGAAACAGACTGAAGATGCACTACTTACTCATCACATATACTATATGCAGCCCAGCATGGATGGAGCAGTTTGGATGCTCTCTCATCGTCCATCCCCTCTTCTGATTCACACATCCATCGAAGAGCCTGTTTCTGGTATGGCTTTAAATGGCAGGTTAAAGTGTGTGGAGCCTCCATTTCCTACAAAATTAACAAATGGTATCAGAAACCACACATACATTTCTCTCTTAGTTCAGAGAACCAAACAGCGCCAAAAGCTAGAACAACATCATACCATTAGGTCATAAACTTCGGCAGTACCAACAATCTTGTTCAAGGTCGACTCAGAAAAGGCTTGTTCATCCTTGTCTTGTTCAGGAATTTGAACTCCTGCGCCTTTTCTCTTCTTAACAAGGTGTAACGCTTCAACTGAATCGTCTGTTTCATCCTGTTTTCACCCAGAACCATACTTCAATCACTCCATAACTACACTACAGAGTCGTTCTAACTATGTATCTACACAACACATTAGTGGTAGAATGAATTACCTCAAGCTTCAAACCACGTTTTCTTGAGTGAAGCTCCGATGGAGTGAACTCAGCCTGATTAGACCACATGGGGGAAAAAGGGCCACCACAAAGATTAGGTGTCTGCAAAATTCAGTCACAAGTTCATGAACCCCCCACCAGAAGCACAATAGAGTAGTTACCTTTTGGTATGGTTTAAGTTCCAGCAGTTTAAACAGACTAAGGAGAGGGTAAACTGAAGAATCGATGTATGTGTTTGATTCCAGCGTCCACGTCGAGCTCTCCAACGCTATGAATATTGATCGGTGAACATAGAAGCTGCAAATCAACAAAATAGCAGCTTGAGTAAGAACAAATAGTAGGGGATGTAGCCATGAAACCAACAAGTCTCGAAGAACTCCTTGAAACCATTTTTTTTTTTTTTTTTATACCTCACATATAAGTAGACCTCCTGCATCATATGAAGAGTAGGCGGGGCGGCCACGCATCTTCCGAGAGCTTTAACCTTGTTGGAGCTCACAAGCGGAACGACACATTTCCCCCATTCCATTGGAAGCCGACCAACCTGTCATTTTACCCTAACATTTATCAGCAAAACCCCCAACAATGGGGAAAAAAGTACTAACACGGTTTATGTAAATTGATTGAAATTTGAAACCCACCTCCCCAGATCTTTTGGTTGAGAAGCGGACGATCCATTGAGCATTGTATTTAGAACTCGACTTGGAGTAGTTGAAGTAGACGATCTCGTTGTCAGCCAATTTCCTGCCTTTCGAGGTGGAAACCGCGGTCACCATCGTTCTACCCACCAGATAGTAACCCTGCTGTTCAGGGAACTCCCCGTCTTCCACCACGCGGCCGTCGATGATCCTCTGCGCCGGCTTTTCCGGGACCGTCGGTGCGCTCCGTTTCTTCTTATCACCACTATCGGCCGTCTCCTTAATCACTATCACCTCCGACTTCACGGGCTTTGTTTTCTCCTTCGCCGACGGTGCCGTATCTGCCGGTCGAGCTGCTTCGTCTTCCGCCACCGTCTCCTCTGTCTCCATATGCACAGGCTCCTCTGCTTTTGTCGCCGTCTCTGCCTCAACAGGCTTCTCTTCCACCGTCGCCGGCGCTTCAGCCGCTAGCTCTTCTTTTACCGACACCATTTCTGTTTCGATAGGCTCGTCTTTCACAGTCCGCATACCTCCGGCCAAAATCTCAGCCGCTTCCATCTCTGTCGATTCCATTTTTACATCACGAGGCTGCTCCGCCGGGACCACGGTTAAAGGAACCGCTGCAATCGCGGTAGGTAAAGGTCTCTCATCGGATTCTTCCCGTTGCTCTTCCTTCACGGCAATGATTGGATCGGCGGAATCAAAAGGCTTTCCGTCCGCCGCTTCACTCTCCGCCTTCTGGTTGGGCTCTTTGGGTTTATCTTCTTCCTTGAGCTGCGCGTGGATTTGGACTCTGCTGCCGACAGCAGTTCGCCGGACATCGACGAAATTATCGACGGTGTCATGTGCGACTCCGTCGTCTTTGTAGCCGGGACGCTCTTGGGCTTCCTCGAGGCGGGAGTCTTCGTCCGGTGCGATTGAAAACTCCATTTTCACGGCTATCAGGGCAACGGAGCGAGCTGGTAGGCTCTGTAATTTGGGGTTAGATGCACTGACAGGGGAAATGGAGAAGAGAGATTGAGAACTGGAAGAGGAAATTTGAGTGGGAGGGTTTTCATTTGGGGTTTAGGGTTTTGTAGCTTGCGAAATTTTGTTTTGGGGGGGTGAAAGTTGGCGCGCTCTTGCGGTTATTTGGCTCCACTTTCCCAATCTTTAGCCCTTGTAGCGCGGAGATGATTTTTTAGTTTTTACTTTCACCTTTTGAAGCGGGAAGGAAAGGCGCGGTGGGATTGAATTTACTGGTTTTCGCTGGCTGGCCTTGTCTCGAGTTTGCTTATATTGGGCCCGTGTTATGGGCCCGACTCCGATTGGCGACCAATGCTTGTTAATGGTGGGATGGGAATGGGATGACAATTTGAACCACCCTGTTGGTGTTGCCGATCTAATCCGTGTTGGCATGGATTTACTCGACTCGTGCTATGCTAGGATTTGATGGATTCTCATCCGTGTATAGTATCATATACACCCGATCTTGTAACGAGGTCGGTCTAGAGTAGGGTACATAATTCGTGTTAATGCATTTGGGCTAACTTTTGTCCTTTTGATTTTAAATGAAATCAGATTTAAGGGTGGAATTGTTTTGTTTTGTTTTCCCTACCTTTTAATTTAATTTTATCTTTTTTATCATTTTTTGAAATGTGTTGGATTGCATATAACAAGTTTATTGCTATCTACAAACTGATTTAAGTTTATGATACATTTCAACAAAAAAATATTTTGTCGTCCTCATTAGTCATTACCACTATGTATCACCTTCGTTTTTAACTTTGGATTTAACATTTTTTGCATAGGTGGCACATGGCCAGCCAGACGCATCCCCTAGGCCGCAGGTCCACCCAATTCCATTAACCCTTATTGCGGGATTTGGGTGGGGTTTGTTTAATAATTTATGCAAATATATGGATATAGTGACGAAAATACGATCATATTGCAACGACATAAAAATTGTCACATTTTAAAGGACGTGTTTTTCTCATATATTCAGTCACTCTTCATGATTTTTCTGCACTAATTCTCATAACTTCTCAATTTCATCTATTTATCATCTCCGAAAATGAAAAAATGTTTGAGCAAGAAAGAAACTAACTGGCAAGTGGATAACGAAGAAATTTGTGTGAACTTGAGTACGAAAGGGTGGCGTTTGAACATCAAAGACGTGAACCTGCAAACAACTTGCACTTCATATTCAATGGAATAACGAATTACCAGCACCCAAGTGTACTTTTTGGAAGGAGTTGTGCAAAGGACAAAGAGGAGTTGATCAAGTTGCACGAACCAAGTTTATATGCTATTATATTTTGAAAACCTTCTTTTGTTTTGTTATTTTTTGTATGTTTAATTTTATGACTCATGTATTCATAATTTTAATAGAATGTTGCGGCAAGATCGATATATCGACAAGAGAATAGGAACAAAACTTTTACTTATGAAATTTGTTGGGTCATTCCTCAAAACTGGCCAAAATGGTATTGTGATCTTGAAATAGTTGTCAATCTCATTCTACCTATAGGTCGAGGTTCCCAAAGTTCTCTCATGAGTGTTGGTTCTCAATCCTCTCCCATTGAAAGCCTAGATGACATACCAGATGAAGGAACTACATCTTTTGTGATAGTGCCTTCTAAATATGCGAACATTAGATATTGGATTTGAATTGAGTAATCCCCATTAGAGTATAAAGGTGTTTGGGAAGCATAAACGGACACTTGAGAGGTTGAGGCTAAATTTAGCTGTTTGGGTTGGAGTTAGTCTAACTATTGGGTATTCATAAAAAGAATCATTGAACATTGACTTAATTGTGTCACCAATTTGATCTTTTCATTTTGACGGCCAACTCACAAACATTAAGTGGCTACACGTTCTCGTCATAAACACTCTTTTCTAAAGGAATCACAACAAGCTCATCAACCGGAACTGAACACATCACACATCCCATGCTGCAGTTGATTCGCCATCGCTCAGCAGCAACAGACCACCGAATGTTATTCACGGTACTAAACCTCATGGTAGCGGAGCTCATCTCCCTCCCCATACCCACAATAGCTGCAATCCAAGGTCAGGCCGCAGCACTCAACCACAAGTACGAGCTAATGAGTGATAACGGGACGTTGTTGAGAAGGGAAGGTGAAAGGAAAGGAAGCAATGGAGACGAGGATGTAGCGCACGGTGTGTGGGGGTAATGAAGAGAGGTTGGGAGTAGTGGTGGAGCTAGCTGAACTGAGTTAGAGTGTCGAGGAGATGGGTCGGAGAGCTCCCTAATTAGATATCCGCAAGGTGTTGCCCTGAACGTTGCACGGTTGTGGCAGCAGCTAGAACCAGCTACCTGCTGCTAAACTGTAAGAAAAATCAGCATTGTAAGAATCGAAAGTGGGGAGAAATGAAAATATGTAGCTGAGGAATCAAATATTACCTAGGGTGTTTACTCGCTTTCTTTAAGAGCCGGTTTGAGACCTGTGTGGACTATAAGGTAACATGAACAGATACAACAACGGATATTTGCGGGTTCACTGATCAAGTGACGAAAATGTAATGCCACACTAGCTTGTGTATAAGTTAAATAAGTTTACACCAGAAATTGTATGCTTCAGGAGTTGATATAGCTCATGGCTTGGGCTTGGAGATAGTAAGAGTCCCTGTATTTTCTGTTGCTATTTATGTGAATGCCGCTTCGGACCCAGTCCTCCCTGTGAATCCAAGCATCACGACCAAAGTCGAGGATTCCAAGGATCTGGCATCATGAAGACATCAGCGTTTGTAAGAACTCAACTAAGTGTTAATTGATTCCTCAAAGTTGGGAGCATCACAGTGGGTTCAAGAAAATAACTACTGTAAGTGCATTTAGGGAGGTAGTAATTGCTTGACGTACCGCTCCACCTTTCCATGGCACGTCTGTGGTTCTTGTTCTTGATTGCAGGACCTATTTAACAGGGATTTCAAGAAGGGTAAATATCAGAACAAAACAGCATATTCATAGAAGGTAATGCATGCACTAGTTCTTCTAGTTCACATGTTTACGATATACCAACAATGTCAGGTATCTAATCAAGTAGCCACTTCTTATTTTAGACAATGCATAATCATGATTCCCTAACTAATTCATCACCTGAAGATTAATTTATTTTATGCAAGAACCCTTTAGAATCTGGTTAAATTACAGTTGAGTGCAAGAGTGACAAAAGAACTTCAGGTACTGGTCGCCGTTGACAATACATTACACACCCATCCAAACAGGCAAAACATATAATCACGAACAAAATGGACCACAGCAAACAGGAGAAAAATGGGAATTTTCAGATTCACCTCTACAGTATCAATCGCCTCATTCGGGGGAATTGCATGCAGAACCCTGTGACAAGAGAAGTGAGAGGTTGTTGAACGATAAAATATTCACAGTTATCCAATGTCTTTCTTGAATGAGTTAAAAGTAGTTAATCACATAGTCAACACTGGCTCAAGAACAAACAACAAAGTACCAATGATCAGCAAATCTTTCTTGTATGTTATGGAGTAATGGTCAACAACACTGCTCTTTCCAATTTCATTTCGTTGAAACTTATTACCTGCTGTACATTAACAGCAGCGGAGAAAAGACTAACTAGGATGGAAGCGACCTCTTGGAGTTCCAACTAAGCACCAATGATCGGCACAAGTTAATACTTGTCTATAAAGTCCAGTGTGTACTTCTTTTAACATCAGTTCACAAGCTGAAGCGTTTAAACTAGAAGTGTTGTTCTCCTAGCTCTGGAAACAGTTTTCCCTCAAATATAATGTCATAATACCCAAGAAATTGGTGTCCTTTCATAGGAGTTCCCTTTGGTATGATGAATCATCCTACCATATCAGTGGTTTAAGCATCATTCAATAAGATAGGAATTGGAATTATGTACTTGGTTTGCCCATCCAAAACAGTCAACCAACCTTTCTTCCACAGCGGGAATGAGACCAGCCGTCAAGGCCACTCCACCAATCTAGAACACAAACCAAATAGTCACTTTCTATCTCCACAGGGTATAAAGTCACAAGCAACCATTCTTGGCCCAGAAAACCATACCAATTGAATGCTGCAGAACAACTTCCTTTGAAGCTCAATGCGGCCTGTCATTATATCATTGAGCATGTCTGAGTGTCAAAAAACATTACAATCTAAAAGAATGAATACATATACAAGCATAAAAAACATAAGCATGGTAACAAATGAACAGCCCTTATTTGGGTCTTACCACTTGAGAGAATGCTACTGGTGATTGCTTCTGCAAGGCCAACTTTTTCTTCCTTTTTTGGCTTTGAAGAAAATATCGGGTAGTTATCCCACATGGATAATCCAACATTCATCCCAGGATACATTCCTTCAACTAAATCCGGCCTTCTAGGGTATTCTATATGATATGTTTCTTCCAGCATGTCATCATAATCATTAAACCTGATGATATGGAATTGTGAATCATCAAGGGTACTGCCAAAATGAACCAGACAGTAGAATTATAATAGAAACACAAGGAAAAACCAAGAGAAGTCCTCACCAAGAACGAGGTGGAGGAGGATACACATCTGGAACCAAAAGCGCTGGGTAGAAGAGTCCCATTGGAGGTACCTGATTAAGAGAACAAACAGGCAGTAGACTCATTCATTACATCAGGTATTCTTCATATTCAGACCCACAGTATGCCAGTCTAACGGAGACTTACACTAAGAGCAGTTAACCTAGTCTTATGAGATCCAGGTGGCTGGCCCTCTTCATAGGAATGAACTATGGAAACAGCATCAAGCTCCCCTTCCTGTTACATGGAAATGCTGATTACAAGTAGAACGAACATTTCATAGGTACACTAGTATCAGTTCCATCTGCAGTAATTCAGTCTATCAGGTTAATGTGTTTAAAATAAAGGCCATCCATTTTCACCAAGCACAACATTTTATAGGAAGGAAAAGGATCACTGATCAAGAAGTCACAATGCTATTTGGCTAGTATATTCATGTTCCAAGGAATGAACAGAAGAAACCTCCGGCGCTCAAATGATAATTAAAAAAAGGGCGGTAAATTGTATGAGCAGAACATATATACAAACATCTGACTATCAAGAACCATCAAACTCATTTTAATCTCGAGAAGACTGAATAACCTGCTAGAGGAACAGAGACACCAAAGACAGGAAAATCTAGACTCACCTTGATCTCACAATAGTTCTCTTTCAGTTTGTTCAACATTAGCAAATCCATAGGCCTTGTCAACAGGTCAGTTCGAATAGGTGGCCATGTCTGATGGTGCCTTTGCGTCCAGAGCAGACATCTTGATATATCCTGAAAAAGTTAGAGACAGCTCTTGCTGGTAACTAGTGGTAGGAACGAAAGAGGGCAGCTTGCAGTTGCAGATGTGGTGGTAATGGAAAAACTTGAAAAGTTAAGTTGAAAGTATACTATAGTATGAAAAGTATGATAGTTTAAGGTTAAACTTAGAACCCCCACCTCTCCGCCAAATTGCAAGGTTTTTTCTGTATTTGGTAGTGCTGCCCCATCCTACAGTGAAAAACAACAGCAATCACTATGATTCAGTATAGATTTGACATTTTCATGCTGCAACAACTGCTAATTTGTGAGGGAATGTTGACCCCAAGGTTCATGCTCCAAGCAACGTTGCAACACTAAACGCAGACACTAATATACTACACAGCAAAAGAAAAAGAAAAAACGGATGAAAGAAGAGTTGTTCCTCTATTCCAGAACTAAGAAGTAAAATGGGTATTGCTTTGTGACAAGAAGCCAAAAATTATGTGGCAATACAACATATTTTAGATTATATGAAAATTCTTCTGTAGGGTTCTTATCACATCAAAGCTTTCTATAATATGGCAAAAAACTAAATTTAACAATCTGTTTTGCTACCTCGATGCAAATAACAGTAGTAGTTTGAGCTCCCATATTGACTACACATGCCGTTGATAATCCGTTCCCAAATACTGCAGCAAGGCCTTCCTGTCAAAGTGAAATAGCATATGTTCATCGTGATAGGAAAAGCAACAGAAGAGTATCTAAAACAAGCTGATCTCATGGACAAACAGATACAGAGATGGAGACACCAAGTTAGTTGAAAGATTGCTAGGCCAGAAGAAGGATGAAAATTATGAAAGTAGGAATTTTTAGAATTTAAATATGCTTTGACTGTGCTACATAAGTATCAACAGTTATATGTTTTGGATCTTTAAGAGTAAGACAATAGTAACAATTAGAGACCAAGCAAACCTACAGACCAAGTGCAAACCAAAACAACTTTCTCCAACTGATGTAATGATGAATTACTGCTAAAAATGCAACCAACGGGTCATATAATATATATATGCAACAAAGCATAAGATAAGATTTATAACCTGATGTACCACTGCTGAGCTAAAGTGCAAATCTCGTAGTACTACAGATAACATTTCTTTCATTTCTGCTCAAATGTTAGAATAGAAGTTAAAAGGGATTCCAAAGCTTTTTGGTTCAACAACTGAATCATCTACGGTGTATCAGAAAAAGAGAGGCAAAAAGATTCCTGAAGAGTTTCATTTCAAAATACAATAAAATTAATGGAATCACCTCGAGTATCAAATGTTTCTGACAAAACAAGAACCACTGAATACATGTTTCTATGTGACCGAGGTACATCAAGTTTCTCTGTCAATATCCAGTCCCAGATAGCGTGCAGGTCCTCGATCACCTAGCCAAAACCAATTCACGTAATATTACTGACTAAGAAAGCTTGAATTTTACAACATCACGTTCCAAGAAATCCAGAACATCCAGAAAGAAGTGACATTTACAGAGAGATGAGACTTGAGCAATCAGAAAATTCTAGTGATAAAAGTAGATTATGCGCCCTGCCATAGGAAAACGCTGAATGTATCTAACTTCTTAAGGAAAAGAAGAAGACTGATAAAAGTCCACGCATCAACAAGAAAATCCGGTCATTTAAGTACAGACCTGCTGCAGTGGATACTGCTGAGAAATGTTCAAGTGACCTCGGCGAATGGGGCGGCGTACACAATATGGCTCCGTAGGGGATATTCTTAATGCTTCCTCCCCAATAATGAACTGCCTTAACCTATTCTCGGTGGAATGAAGCTGCTTTGGTAACTCATCTCGGTGCTCCTCTGAGGATTCGCCAACCCGATCTTCACTAGTCGTCCTTTCTGCACAGAAACAGTTGCCTCATAATTGGTTAAATGACGAATTCAAAGTTACAGGAGGCTGAAATAGGGAAAGAACCAGACAGGGAATACCTTCCTCCTGCCAAAAAAACAAAATTAGAATCTACATCTTCCTAATCCTGTCTTATTAGATACCTGGTGTACAAGTGGACTTAGCATCCTGCTCATAAACATTAGCCCATGCAAAACACTCGTCCTTCCCCCTACCATTGTGATGATTATGTCCATCAACACGGCCCATCTGCAGAACAAAATCCATGATCTTATCAACTTGCTAAGCTAGAGAACTCTGTGGTAGTTCCATCGTTTCTGAAGAATGTAACTTAATAAGAAAACCAAAGACACTGAAACTGTCATCCTAGTTAGTACAACAGCATGATGCAGAAGGCAGTCTATACCTTCCGTGGGATGCCCACTTGGTCATCCAGAAAAGGAATCTTTAGAAATGATGCAATCTAAAGAGAGAAAGAAAACAAGAAGACTAGCAGTCAGTTCAAACCACATTCGAAAAACAATAGTGTATCACAATTCTAAGGATCAAACCAGAAACGAGGCCTAACAAAAGCTTGTCTGTATCACTGTATGACTACTTACAACATCATAAGCCTTCTGACGCTCCATTTGCTGAGCAGTCGTCACCTGACAATTCAGCATCTGGGAAGCAGAGCAACAATGAAGAATGGGGATACTGGAAAGTGGAAACAGACAAGAAATTTTTAGTGGATTTAAACAACGGTAGAGTAAAGGAGCAAGAACCTGATCTTGGACATTCAACTTGGGCGTTTGATTGGTATAACGAGCAATACAGTGAGGAATGATAGAGGGAGTATCCTGCCGCGCGACTCCGATTCGGACATTTGCGGAACCTGCAACGGACGAAGGAACCAAAACAAAAATTCACCCTCCGCGAGCATTCATCCGTTGCGCAAGCTCAACAAAACAAAGAGGAAGAAGAACTAGAAGCTGGGCCACAAAACTGAAAAACCAGTTAGTGTGCAGCTGAGGCAGTTACCTGGGTTGATGACAACTATATTGGAGCCTCGCTCGGCGATCAATTGCGAAGGAACCACAGTTTTCAAGTAATCCTGCACCATTGCCGGCGGGAAAAAGAAAGGAAAGAGAACGCATCAGTTAAAAGGACGTGAAGAAACCTAAGATCAGAGTACTGGAGGTAAACCAGCCACCATTTGAATGAACGAAAGCAGGAGTCTAACTGCTGCTCCGCCTCCGCCGGCGGCGGCCACAGCCCAGACTTTTCCTTCTCAAAATCCGCCCTCGACGGAATCGCTACTCCCAACTTCCACACTTCGCTGTACCGACTACCGAGCATTCGTCGTTGCGATTAGTTCGCTCATTTTGTTCTGAATAGAAAGAAAAAGGCGACACGACGTCGTTTAATCCTCCTCCTCCCTCCCGTTACTTTCCCGTCATCGTCAACTCGAAAACACTCATTTTGGAAAGACTCGTTATTGATTATCTGGGTTGCAGCAAGATGCAGAAGCCAATGAATAGTCCAATGGGGATTTCAAAAGAATTCTGCATTCTCGTTACAAAAAAGATGCACTAACGTTCTTTGAGTCTATTCGAGAGTGATTAGAAGAGCATACAATGAGGGAAAACCCAGGAACAAATACGAAGGAAAAGAAAAAAAAAAAAGATTAACCAAAACAACTACTAGTTTTCGGCACTCTAATCTTCTCAATATAATGTTCAGGAACTTCAGATACGACGTGCTTCTTGACGCGCCTTAACCAACTTTGGCCTTGGGAGCTGCCTTCTTCTTGATCTGTCTCTTTGGGATCAAGTTCTTCATCCCCAGGAAGAACATCAATGCACCGAAAAGAGCAACGCTCTGCCAATGGGATCACAAGAGCAAAGCAAATGTTCAAAGATGGAATTCCATAGAGAGAAACATAGGGAAATGTAAGATAGTTGAGTTCCATAACAAAACCTGGATGAACTCGTTCAAGAGAATCAAGTACTCCATCTCGCCCCGACGGTAGTTGTAGAAGTCGTAGAGAAGTGGGGCATTAACAGCCAAGTAGACAAGCTGCATTAGAGATGGAATGCAAGGTTAAGATAAGAGTTCATAATAATGCTTACAGATATAAGGACCAAACAGTTGCCATCAATACGTTCATTCAAAAACTCACCAGGAGATATGCACCAAATGGGGTGCCGAAAACAAAGAGGAAGCCTCCGAGCCCCTTGAGAACAATGTTAACGGCAACGACATGCCTAGCCTATCGATCAAACAAAATGGTAGTCAATAAGAACAAGATCGTCCACCACAGTCCCCATAAGAAAAAAGGAAAGAAAAAGGAAGGGTCTACCCCAGTAAACAGATCTTACATCAATATCTGGCATTTTGACTGCCAATGTAGTTGCAAGATGGTGCTTGACCGTGGAAAGCTTCGACATGTATTCTTGGGCGGCAGGGCCACCATCATCCCCAAATTCGTTGAACCTAATCCAGTAATATACACACTCAAAGTCATTCTTCGAACCCACGACGATCCAAATAGGAGAGCATTCAAAACAGTTAAACTGCTTCACATTATCAAGCCAGTTGTAGATAACAGCTGAGTTTGGGAATCCAATAGAAGGATAAATCAAGCCATGATCTCTAGATTCACATCTAAATTTACAACGGGACTTCGCAAATCAAAACACCAGATCACATCAAAGAAAGAAGGACAAATCATGCCCACTGAAACCAACACGGGTCTCAAACCCATTCATTCCCCGGGATCCAACCCTTGAAAATCAAATCGAATTGTTTGCAAGCCATCGAAATCATGGAACGGATTCATTGTAACACTCGCCTTTCACAAGCAAGATAACCAGATATTGCAACTAGAGAAGCCAAAACAATAACCTAAGCTGGCGAGTGAAAAAAGAGCGCCAGACGAATCAAACGGCAGCTGAGAATCATCAGCTGTTCGAGGAAGTAGGCAACAACATGCGCTCAGGTCATTTCTATTTCTAGAACAGACGAATCCCATAAAAGAAAATGCAAAACCTAGAACTCCCCTGAATCCCTTTAATGCAACAGTACACCACATATGGAAACAAATTCAACAAGCGGATCCGGAGCGGAATCCAAAAGGGGGAAACGAAGAACGATCGAAACCCCACAACCGTGATAAAACAACAGATCTGAGAAATGAAGAGAGAAAGAGGGAGAGAGAGTACATTTGCCAGGCGGAGAGGATGAAGAGGGAGGCGAAAAGGACTCTGCCGAGGAACGAAAAGAAACCCATTTGCTCTTTGGCGTCGAGTGACGTTTCGGGTGATCTCGCCGGCTGCGCCCGCTTTGTTTGTTCTGCTTTCGGATTTCCTTCTCGTCGCCGCCGCCGGATGAGGGAAGCGAAACAAGACACTGCTTTGAGCTGCGGAGCGACAGTGGAGAGAGACGAGACAAGAGAAGTGAAGCTCGTTGGGTCCTGACTGATTGATAATGGCCTGGAGGATGTGGGGTGGGGGGCTAATTGAGCTCTCGGACAATCAGACTTCCGATTTGGGATTTTACCGTATCCGATACAAAACACAACAAAACAAAAACAGTGACTGACGTCAATAATAACAATAATATACATGACAACTTGGTTCCTCAATTATGACATGTTTACTATTGGACTCCTACAATTAAATCGTCTTCTAATGATAGTTCCGAATATTTTGAAATTTTCAAAGTCATGAATCATTTGGTATATACTGCATAGGATATTTACGTTGTGACAACACCAAGGTTGTCAACCCGCGGGTTGATCCAATTTGACCATGACCCGGTGAGAAAAACGGGGCGCACGCATTCGTCGAACCGACCGCTATAAAATACTGGGTTGGAGGTCAAATTGTGTCATTTTTTTCTTCGGTTTTCGAAATGCGCCTATTTTCCGATTTTTCTTTTCGCCTAACTCAATCTTTGGAATCATAAGTTGCACATTTGAATATTTATGTTATATAAGTGTGTGTGAATTTTCACTATATGTTGGATCTAAGTACGATATGTTATTTTGGTGTAATATTATATGTTATAACTCATATGTTGAATAAGATTTGATATAATTTATGAGGATAAGTACAATATAATGACTCTTTCCATATTTCCGGGCTAAAACGGTTGACCCATTAACCATTGACCCACTAGCTCGACCGGGTCCGGGTCAACCCGCGAGTTGACAACCTTGGACAACACTTTACCGCCTGATCACAGCGAATTGCCGACTCCCCTTGATTCGGCCATGTGGCCAAAGGTTTGAGGGTTACCGCTGGCTCCAACGCTCAAGTTTTTTCTTTGGCATATTTTATTGCATATCCTACCAGTCCGTGAAGATCTTGTTTGTCATGGTCTGGTGGTGCTTAATATTTGTCCAATTTGTGAATGCACAGCGGGTGAGTCATTAGAAGTTGAACATCTTTTTCCCAGTTGTCCAGTTGCAATCGCCTTGTGGGGTGTAATGGGCCTTCACCTACCAAATGGCATCACTCCCAAAACTCATATAGCTCTGCTTTTTTTTTTTTTGTAGAAAGGCCGACAAATTCGTCCTAATTCATACTATTAACCAAACGAGAGGTAGAAACTCCCAAAATGTCATACAAGAGTCAATACCCGAATTGAGGGTCGCACACATTGAACTAATGTGTGCCCAAATCCATCTCATGCCCCTTAGATGCTAAGAAATCAGCAGAACAATTACACTCACTATATACATGATTAATTATCACCTCTGATGACTCGGTATTTGCACATGTTTTCCCCTTTGTTTCTTGATTGTTTGAGCTTGAATTATCGTGTCTTTGGCTATTGTACGCTAGGTTGTGTTCCTTTCTCACATTTCAGGTCCAAGCACATAAAGTGAAGTATAGGCGCAAGTTTCAAGTCAATCAGAGATCAATTGACGATTCGGGAGAAGAAACTCGGGCATGACCTGAAGAAGAATGGATTTCTACCTCACTTTATGGACAAAGAATCATGCAAGCTTGTCATGAAAAGAAAGAGGACGAGACTACGAGCGTCTGGGATCAAACGGTGACTGAATCGGAGGTCAAACGAGCTCAAACGAGATCAACGAAGCTTAGGAGTGCATGCTGGAAATTGTGCACGGCCGTGTGAAATTCTGCACGGCCGTGCGGGTTTTCCAAGGGGTCTGCACGGCCAAAACCTCAATTTGCACGGTCGTGCAAGTAGGGGGTGCGAGTTTCAGCGGGTATAAAAGCTGTTTTGCGATTTTTGGAGAGGGAGAGCTGGGTTTTGGATCCCAAACACCCAAGGGACGAGCCCTAGAGAGAGAGAGCGACTTGGGAACATTCTTGGAGCTATTTTGGAGGATTTCTTCGCCATTGGAGCTCGGGATTCAAGCTTGGAGATGGAGATTGAAGATCTAGATCAGATTTCTGCAGTCTCTCTCTTCTCTATGGAGTAACTTCCCTTCACTTAGGTTTTGAGGAACCCTAGCTATGTTTGTTTGATTGGATGATTGTATGAGTAATCTGACTTGATAATCTTGAGTTCATATTCAATCTATGCATGTTTTCACGATTCAATTCTGCTTTAGTCGAGATTTTTGATTCTGCTTTGATCCTATGAGAGCGAATACCTGATTAGGTCAATAGAGCACCATAGATTGATAGTAGTGGATCGATTGCTTTATTCGAGGGTTGATTCACTGCTTTGTATCGATTGAGAACCTCATTCGATAGAGGGAGTCTAGTTCAGAACGCCTTGATCGATTGTTCTAGAGAAGGATACGTCCCTCTAGGCAATTGACTCAAGAGGGCCTTGTTCCTTTAGTCGAGACTCAAGGTCTAGTCAAGGATTCTCCGCATTGTGAATGAAAGTGAAACAAGTTAGAGATCATCAATCGTTAATCTGGCTAGTGGCTAGGGGGAATCATACCTAAGTGAGTTCCCAACCTGTAATTAGATTAACTTTAACTGTAGTTTGCTAGAGTAGTTTTAGTTCTTTCATCTTAATCTGTTTTGCTAGATAATGAACTGAAGCTAAGTAATAGTAACTCTAGAGACCCGTGGATTCGATATTTATTACTTGAGCCACTATACTGCAGTCCCTTTCATTGGTTACACTTGGCCATTGTTAGGAGTTGTGTTTTAGCGAGTCAAGTTTTTGGCGCCGTTGCCGGGGACTTTCTAGATTATTAGGAAAGGCAGAAGTTTGTTACTTTAGCGTTTTTCTTTTGTTTTCCACCCTTGCTTTTCACTTGGGTGTTTTTGTTTTTGTTGGTGCAGATCTGAATCATGGATCCTCATGGCTTCTCCAACCATTGGGGGTATCCACCACCATCCGAGTGGTATTACCCCGAGACACCCTGGAGCAATCAAGGAGGAGAAGACTATGGATTCGGGTTCCAGTACCAACCCCCTTACTACGAGGAACAATCTGACCCCTGGGCATATCAAGAACAATCTCATTACCAAGAAGACTTTCTCCCACAACCAGAAGGGCCATCGGCGCTGGAGTTACCCATGGCGGCCTTCACGGGTCATTCTGCAGAGCCATGCTACACTCCACAGCCAGATCCAAACTATGAACTGAGACTTCTCCTGGAGCAGTTTGTTCGGAACTCCGAGAGACGCAATCGCAAGATGGACCTCCTTTTCTCATCCTTTGCTCCTCCTAATTCTTCATCCCTCCGTGAATCGGAGGAGAACGTTTCGCACTCATCAAAGCAACCAGAGCGGGTTGAGCAAGTTTGTGCACAACTTTCTCAAGATCACCCGTCTGCTACCATACTAGAAGAGGACGAGGAAGAAGAAGGCTACAAGGACATTGTGGAGCAAACAGAAGTTATCACCGAGAGCTCCCGTGAAGATCATGATCAAGAATGTCCTATCGTAGCCGACCACCCCTTTCCACATCCCACACTGAGCTTTGAAGAGGTGGGCATGAGTGAGGAGATGCAAGAAGATCTCATGAAAGAAATTGCTTGGCAACTTGCTCTCCAATCCGTGCTAGAAGAAGAAGAGCAAGAAAGGGTGCAGAAAGAAGTTGTGGAGGATGACAACAGTGAAGCAGAAGGAGTTCTTGATCATTTCCCAGGGGTGATACCATATGAACAAGGAAGGGAGGTTGACGAAGCAATTGGCGTCCAGGCTGAGGACGAAGTTGAGGTGGAAGAGGCCTGCACCGGCCATGAGTTGCATGTGATATCTCCACCAAACTTTGAGGAACTACTTAGCAAGGACCCATTTGCAGTGTCTCTTTGCCAGACCAAGGCCACTTCGACATCGGTCCCTCTTGGTGGACGCGGTGGTGGCCAATCGATGCTGTCTTATCTGGTTTGGGGCAATGAGACGAGAGAAGAGAAGAAGAGGTCTCGAGGGTGGAGACTTCATCTGCATCAAGTGCACGAGCCTTCATCACCTGCCACATCACCTGCTTGTGACTTGAGACTCCACCTCATAGATGAGAACCTCAACTTCAAGGAGGTTCTAGCATGGACCGAAACTTAGGAGCCATCATCCGGCTCACGACGTGAAAGAAGCGCTTGTTGGGAGGCAACCCAACCAGTCGGTTTGCATTTCTTTCTCTATTTCTCCTCGGTTGAGTCAGTTTTGTTATTTGGTTTTAGAGTCAATAGCTCAACCTTTGTGAGATTTTGTGTGGTGTTTGTGTTCTGATTACTCTCTCTTCCTGGAATGCACCGCCTGCCCCGTCCATCATCATTCACCCTTGATCTGGTAACTTCGTTCTACCCTCCTTATCTTTCCTCCATTGAGGACAATGTCGTGCTTAAGTGTGGGGGGGTGTTCGATTATGTATGCGGGTGAATGTTTGGCTGTTTGTGTGCTTGGAGCCTAGTCCACTGTCCAAATTTTTAAATTTGAGGGCTCCAAGTACGTGTTTCCTTGCAAATTGCCTACTCAGTATGCTTTGAATTGACAGACTCTATAGTAATGTGCAACCTAGGGAGGTAGTGTAGCACTATGGAGGATGTTGAAGTATAAGATTTTTCCTATCTAACTCTTTGTTGTGCCAGTTGATTTTGTGAATTAGTGGAGCTAGGACCGTTGAATTCATGTGGTAATGGTGACTCTATGTGGATTGTGTTTTGGACTCGTGTATCGAACAAGGTGCTCATATGGAAAATGGGAAGCAGTTGGTCCTCCATGTCGAAATCATTGAAATCTTAAACATGGGGTAAGCCCAACGTGTGTGGCACCGTTCATTGCACGAAATCGGGTTTTGGAAGAGATTTTTGTAATCCTTAGTGGGGTACTCCTACAAGGTGAAGCTAAGTTGTCTCTAGTACAAGTAAAATTTTCACCCGTTGAACGGTTTGCCTACTTGAGGATGTGTTTTTAAGGGCACGGATAGAGCTTCCGACCCCCCTTAATTTCATTGACCCTCCACACGAGTTGAGGAAAAGGAGTTAAAAGAAGTACCCTGGCGAGCGCCAGGTGTACAGAAATTGCTCTTGCTAGACTAATAAGGGTCGACCGTGCAAAAGACTGCAGTTGGAACCCCTGCTAAGTGAAAGAAAGAAAAAAAACAAGGAAAATGTGAATGAAAGTG